CAGGTAAACAGCTGTGCCCAGCCTGTGTGCTGCGAGGCCCCTTCCTACCAACCAGTCCTCTGTGTGCCCACTGCTTGCCAGACCATCCTCTGCAGACCCAGCTGCTGCCAGCCAGTCATCTGCGAGCGCACCTACTGTCCGACTGTCTGCACCAGGCCTAGTTCCTGCCAACCAGTGATCTGTGAGCCTGCTTGCTGTCAGCCAGTGTGCCCCACGCCTAGCTGCTGTTCATCTGTCCGCTCCGTGGCCAATGGCCGCCAGTCTGTCTGCTGTGAGCCACCTTGTGAGCCACATTGTGAGCCACCTTGCTCAGAGCCAATATGCCAGCCAACCACCCGTGTGTCTCTGGTCAGTGAGTCTGTCTGTGTCCGCCCGGTCTGCTGTGTTCCAAGCCCTTGTGAACCACCTTGTGTCTCTAGCACAAGCCAAGAGCCCTCTTACTGCGTCTCTAGCCTCTGCCAACCCATCTGCTCTGAGCCCAGCCCCTGCTCACCTAGTGTCTGTGTGCCCCGGCCATGTCAACCCATCGGCTATGTCGTCAAGCGCTGCCAGTCTGTCTGCTATGAGCCCGTTTCCTGCCCGTCTACCTCGTGCCGACCTCTCTGCTGCCGCCCAGGGTCTTCTGCATCTGTCATCTGCCGGCCAATTTGCTCTCGAACTTTCTACATACCCAGCTCCTGCAAACAACCATGCACTCCTTCAGTTTCCTACCGCCCAATTTGCCGCCCTCTCTTCTCTGGACCCACCACCTACAGGCAGCCGTATGTGACGTCCATCTCCTACCGCCCAGGCTGCTTTCGCCCCTGTTACTCCATCTTGCGCCGCCCAGCCTGCATCACTTCTGTCTCTTACCGTCCCATCTGCACCCGCCTGTCTTGTACTGACACCTGCAAACGTGATTGCAAAAAGTCTACTTCCAGCCAACCGGATTGTGCTGACTCAACACCCTGCAAGACAGAGGTCTTAGAGGCCAATCCTTCCCAGCCCACTGAGGCCAAGCCCACCAACCCAACCACCTGTGAGGCCGCAACCAGCCAGCCTGCTGCCACCAAGCCTGCTAACTGCTGAAATGGCCTCTGCCCACAAATCCCTGCAGTGCACGCCTCTGACTACAGAGAAAATGTGACTGCCCTCCCCAAAGCTCATCTGACTTAGAATCTTTTTCTTTCTGCACTATCACTCACCATCTGCTTATGCTTCAAAGAACTCACCAGAAATGTCAGTCTCTTAAGGGTCCAAATGAAGTCCTCCTGGGCACGAGAGGGGGACCCCCGGGTTCCTGTCTGCTGCTGCCCATAGGCTAAAAAAGGCTGCTGCGCTACATCATCTCAAGTCTCTCTCCTGGCATCAGATTTTTCTGTCTTCATGTGTGTGCTCCCTCGCTACGTGTGCCCCTCTTCCTTGGGGACCTCTTCCATGAGATCAAGCTATTTACCTGTCCAATAAACATGGCTAAGTTGAAGTGATGCACTGTTCTCACGGCTCTCTTGTTCGTGCCATATTCTCATCAGCTGACCTGTTCCAACTTTGAGAGCAGCTTCATTCATCCATTCATCCACCCAACAAACTTTATTAGATAGCTGTTAGGTGCCAGTGACTGTGTCAGATTCTAGGAATGAGAAGACGAAAGTTTTAGGCCCATACTTAGGAGGCTTACTCTGATGGGGAGACAGGCAGAGAGACGACCACTACGTTCCACTCATGTGGTGCTAAGTCCTGGGGCAGAGGGCATTTGGAATTCAGCAGGGCATGGGGAGAAACAGGGAAGAATTCTTGGGGGATGTGATACTGAAGCTGCGTCTTTCAGTACGAGTAGGAATTAACTGGTTGGAAACCAGGAAGGAAGAGATTTCCAGGCAGAGGAAACATGTACAAATGAATGGGGCTTGTGAGCAAACTGTTCATTAGGCAAAGCTTGGGCAGAGATGTTCTTAGAGGAGTGGTGAGCTTGAGGTCAGATAAGTAGACAGTGACCTGCCTTTGTCAGGCCTTGTGTGCTAGACAGAGGGGCCTGGTGCAGGGCTGACATGAAGGCATTGAGGAACTATACGCAGGGCAGTGGTTTTGGGATGTCCCTCTGGCCTTGGTGTGGCAAGCTTAATAGAGGAACATGGACTTGGATATAGGGAGACTGAGGAGGCAGCCAATGACTTTGGGGTCCACAGTGGAATGAAACCAAGTAGGGGGTCATATTTACAATAAGGAATGTAACCTGGATTTATTGTACAAGAGATTTATGTTCCCTTATTCCCTAGAAGACACACTCTTTGTAAACCCCATCCATACCCTCTTACAAGCCTCAAGGACAGAATCTCTTCAAAGTAGTCACCCCTTGCACTTACTGCACAGACTGAAGGGCTACCCCTTGTCCTCAAGGTGCAGCTTAGGCTATCCTAATCACAAGAGGGGGTAGCCCAGGGATTTTCAATTTTGGCACCACTGACATTCTGGGCTGGATAATTATTTGTTGTGGGGACTGTTCTTTGCGTTGTAGGATATTAAGCAATATCCCTGGCTTCTACCAACTAGAGGTCCCCTGAGGGTGATGGCCCGAAATGTCTCCAGACATTGGCAAACATCTCCCCTGGGGAGGAGAGGCAAAAATCACCCCTGTTTGAGAACCATTGGGCTAGACAATGGCAGAGGGAGAAAGTCAAAAGTGAAACTTATCCTACACATTGGTGTTGGGATTTATTTCCAGTTCCTTCCTGAGTCAAGAGATGAGTTGGCAAGGGTTTTAAATCTCTGATCCCAGCACAAACTCAGTATTTCATGTAAATTATGGCAATTCTGTGAAATAAGATTCCTTTTTCCCTATTTTATAGATGAATAATTTGAAGGATAAATGATTCAAATGCCCATCAACAGAGATGAGAAAATTGTAGTATATTCATTCACACAATAGTTATTACACTATAGTGAAGACACCTGGACAATGGCTACATGAAACAAAATGGTGAACCTTACTACTGTGATATTGATTGGTATGAACAAGCCCCAGAGATCACATACATATTTAAAGGTCAAAACCAACACACACATACATACATATACATATGTATGAGTAGACATGTGTATACATATATACAAATATATATATATATATTCTATATCTGTATCTATCTATTCACAGGGGAATGACAAACACAAAATTCAGCATAATCACAGCCAGTAAGTAACACACCAAACCGCAGTTCTGTCCAAGCTTGTGTTTTCACGCACCAACATGAAATCACAACAGCTTAATGTGATCACAACAACTCCTGGTGGTACATCAGATGTCCTTACCATCTTGCACCATGGCAAAATGAAAGTTCTTTCTACTGGGAGGGTTGTTTTTCAGTTTTATTTATTGAAAGTTTTTTTTATTTATTTTTTTATATTTTTTTAAATATTTTTTTATATATTTTTTATATATTTTTATATTTTTTATATTTTTTATATTTTATTTTTTTATTTATTGAAAGTTTTATTTATTGAAAGTTTTATTTATTGAAAGCATAGATTGTGATGATTTGATGTATATAATATTGTGAAAAGATTCTTCCCACCTAATTCATCTGCATATCCACCACCTCACATATTTATCTTTTTTGTGTGTGATAACATTCAAGTTCTTTTAGCAAATTTCCATTATATAATACAATGTTATCAACTATAGTCACCACACTAAACATTAGATCTTCAGTCCTTATTCATCTTAGAGCTGAAAGTTTGTACTCTTTTTACCAGCCTATTGAGTGTTTTCTTTAAGAGGAATAGAGGCAAGTGCAGAATCAGAGAAAAGTAGATGTAAAAATGGATTGCTCTGAAACAATGAAGGTGGTATGTATGGGTATAAGATATAGGCATCTTTGTCAGATGGAAATTTGCATGGTTTCTCAAATAAGTTCATGTTCCCATTTTGACTGACCTATTTGGTGACACCAACAGTACTTCCTCCTGGGAGATGAGAGCTTTGGGATGTAGATGTTTAGGAATAAAACACAGTGCAGGGTTTGCAAGATGCTAAAATGAACAGCAAAGAGATGGGAGGACAAAAGAAGTAATCGATGCTATGATGTGAAAAGCGATGGCAGAGGAAAGGCATTTTAATGACCAGGGTGAGGATTTTTCAGGCACTACTGTGATCAGAAAAATTTCTCTTCCTTTTAAAATGAGTGCAAGGAGAAGGTATTTTGCAACTGGTACTTTGAAAAGTAGTTTCCAGCACTTTCAATGATTGTGAGGCAGACTATAATAATAAAAGTGACCTGAGCAATAGCCATACAATTGATGAACAATCAGTACTTTTTTTTTCCAAATAGCAGTACTGGGGATTGAACCCAGGACCCCGTGCATGCTATGCATGGATTCTACCATTGAGCTCTTCCCAGCCCATGACACTCAGTACTTTGAACACCTGGGTAGTGAGCTAACATGTCCAGCAAAGTGAGTCTGTGGCAGAGCCAGAAATCAAGACTAGCCCCACTGGATCCCAAAGCCATGATCTTTCCATTCCATCATGTACCTCCAGCATGAATCAGGCCAGGATGTGGACCAGTGTGGGATGCTGAAATTGGCTGGTGATGCAGAGCCGGGACCAGCCCGAAGGAAGAGGGAAAGAATCCACAAAGCCCCTCATGAATCTCTCTTGGAAGAAGTTGATTTGACACAAAAACGACTTTGCAGAGATGTCTTTATATCACTGCTACTTGCTGTGTTTTATATTTATAGAATTCATATGCCATTTACCCCACAGCATGAGTTTAATCTTTCTTTCTTTTCTTTTTTATTGAGTAATAGTCATTTTACAAAGTTGTGTTAATCTTTCTTGATGAAACATTTTGCAATTTTAAATTTCCAAATTAAAAAATTGTCTTCAGGTATATTGGTAAGTAGAGATAAGTACACATACCAGTTTGATTTAGCTGATGGTTACAGTCATTAGAGTGGGCAGAGGAACCCCAGCAGAGGGCCTGGATCACCTGCCCTTGAGCCAGCGCTGCTGCACAAATGTCAACCTTCAATCACTATGTTAGAGTCTCCCTCCCTACCTCCAAAGTTGGGAGGCATAATAGGTGGTTAAGATCAAAGCTTTTGGGGTTGGCCCAACCTAGGTTTGAATTCTGTTTCCATCCCTTATTACTTGCATAATTTTGGGAACATGATTTAAACTCTCTGAGTTAGTTTTGCTACATCTACCACAATGGTGACAATTGCACTTATGAACTAGGATCATTGCAAAGATTCAATGAAAAAAGGTCAAGGACTTGGTACATAGTAAGTATGCTATAAATGGACGCTGTTACTAGTGTTATTATTATTGGTGGTACTAGTAAAGTTGAGTTTCAGGAGAGCCAAACAAGAAGGTTCTAGAAAGAGGTTGTTACCAAGTCCAAGCTCGTACTGCTCGATGCATGACAGGCCAATAAATCTAGAGATGAGTTGTTGGGGCAAGGAATAGTGACTTACTTTTTTCAGAAAGCCAGCAGACCGGGAAGATGGTGGACTAGTGTCCCAAAGAACCACCTTGCTTGAGTTAGAATTCAGGCTTCTTTTGTACTAAAAGAGGAGGGAGTAGTCAAACATTTCCTCATTCCGGTCATCCTCCAGTGGGGATGTGCTAATTTCTTTCTTCCTGCAGTCATTCACAGCTGGGCCTGGTCAGGATGCTTCCCATGAGCTAAACAAAAGTATTTTAGAATTTAGCCTTATAGGCAATATCCTTTAGTGATTAACTTGTAATAGAACACAAAGGGGTTCCTTCCTATGACCAGGTCCCCACTGCAGAGTCCCTTGGGATGCACTACCTGATTTTCTGTGTGCCATCTCTGATATCAGCCTCCCTCAACTGGGTCAGAGCTTCATTTCCTGGCTGAATGGTGCGGTACTGCATTCCTGGCAGAGGAGCAGGCTGTTTCGGCTGGGCTGTAGCCTTCTGATGAGAGGTTAGCATTGGGAAGAGGCCTGCTTCAGAGAGGCCGAGAACAAGCTGTAAAAGAGACAGCTTATCCCAGAGCTGGAGCAGTGGCAAGGTAGCCCAAACTCGGCCATGAAAATGACTAACTCAACAGATGAGTTTTTAAACTGGGGACATCTCCCAAGCTCCTGAATCCTTCTAATCAGATGTTTGTATGCAAATGTGTGGCAACCTTAACAAGGAAAGATGCTCCATCATGCCAACACCCCTAGCGAAGGACTATAAAAGCCCCCACATATCAGATGTCTTTCAAACTCAGGGATACTGAGGTTGGAACCTCCTGGCAAGGTAAGCACCAGCACCATGGTGGATAGCTGTTGTCCCGGAAACGCCACTGCCATTCCAGCGGTGCTCCTGTGAATCTGGCACTGGTCAGTCTCCTTGTCTGGTTAGCTCGGGTGAGCCCTCCTGCTCGGAAACCACTGGCAGTCGGGGAAAGTGTTGTGAAGCCAGCCCCTGCCAACAGAGCTCCTGCCAGGAACCTGTCTACCTGTCTGGGTCATGCCAGGCAGCCTGTGGCCTATCAGTCTGCTGTGACATAGGTCCTGCCACCCATCCTGCTCTGAGGCAACTTTCTGTCCTGCAACACCTTGCCCACCAGCCATCCGTGCAGCTAGTCTATGCCAGCCAACTTGCTGCCAAGCACGTTCATGTCAACTAATTAGTGGTGAAGACCAGCCCTGCCAATCAACTTATTACCAACCTGTCTGCTACTTTTTTAAGTCTTGTCAATCAGTTCCCTGCGTGCCTGTGCCCCACCAGCTGTGTCCTTGTGTTTTCTGTTCTTGCAATCCTGCTTGCTGTTTCTCCTCCCCTTGCCAGACACTTCACTGCCCACCAGTTCCATCCATAACCTTCATCTGCCAGCCAGTGGCTAACCCTTGTTCTGTAAAGAACCCTTGCAAACCAGCTTCCTGCAGCACCGTCCCTTCTGGCCAACCAACTTGTGGTGAACCTACTTCCTGCAATCAAAGTGCCTGCAAATCCCCTTCCTGCCAACAAGCTTGCTGTGTGACAGGTTCTGGCAAATCATCCAGTGGAGGTTCCAATCGCTTCCGAACCACTGCTCCAAGTCTGCCAGGCCAGCACCTGCTAGCCAACTTCCTGCCAACCCAGCCAGGAGTCCAGCTTCAGTACAGTGACATTTCATTGAGAGAGCACTCTTTACACCTCCTCTGAGGTCTGCCACTGTCTGCAAGTGCATAGCCACCCCATGCTTGCTAACTTTACTCTGAGTCTGGCCCCCTCTTCTCTCCAGGTGCTGATGAAGGAACTTGTCCATCCACTAAGAGACCCTTCTTAACTGAGGATAACCTTTCAGCAAGCATGGTCCAAGCTAGAGCTTGCGTTTCCTGATGTCATCATTTCATTTCAGAAAAACCTTTCCTCTAGTTTTTCTTTCTTTTGATGCTGCCAAGTCGTTAAGAAGACTCTTTTGCTGCCAGCTGCTGATAAAAACGTGACTGGTTAATCATAACAAAGCCTCCCAGAGTGCTTTCATTCCTTTCAATACACCCCTATGTCGATTTCCTTCAGTTCTCATTTGAACACAATGACTTTGGGTCCTCTGAGTCAGTGTGTCTGCATTCCTCTGCAAGGGTAGTTTGTGTCTAGAAATATAGATGCTCAAGCTGGAAGGAAGTGAGGACAAACAGTGCCCTGGCTTCCTTTACACTTTACCAAGCGCTCTTTTGAGTTGGGTGGCCTCAGTTCCCCGACAGTGAATAGACTTGGGCAGCCAAAGCCAGAATCGGTCCAGGGAAGCCACAGATGAAAATAAACATGAGGTTTCGACCATGGAGAATAACTAAGGGTTAAGTCACTTAAAATTAGTTTTAATGATCAATTCATCTGATTGGCCAATTTAAATAAAGTTAAAAAGTCTTTAGGAATTTTGGGCAGGTGTTTGCTATGGTTTTGACTTTCAAGAGACAGTTGAAAAAACAATTACTCTAAGGGGACTTTTGACCGAATTTTGTATTTCTAGGGTGTAATTACTGAATCTAAACATTTTTTTGGATTGGTTTTATTTTGGGGGAAGCTTAGAGAAAGATGTACAGTGTGTGCTTGCAGCAATGGTGCAGAGTCTTTCCTGAAGGGGATCTGGCCCCCTTTTTAATCAAGGGACTTGGGGTCTGCAAACTGATTTAGGTATCTAACCCAAAAAATTCTTACCCAGGTCCATAAAGAGACATGTATGAGGATGGTCACTGTGGCATTTCTGTAATGACATGAATTTTAAAGGAAATCTGTTGTCCACCACTAAGAGAATAAGGAGTGGGTAGGTAGGAAGTGGTGATTCCTTCCTTGGGTGTTGTATTAGACTGGTTCTAGATCTATCAGTCTATTTGTCTGTCTGTCTGTCTATCTATCTATCTATCTATCTATCTATCTATCTATCTATCTATCTATCTATCTATATCCATTGAGAGGAATTGGCTCATGTAATTATGGAGGCTGGCAAGTCCAAATCTGTAGTGGGGGACCAAAGTGTGGGCTGACAGGCTGGAGACCCAGGAGAAGGCTGCCTGCTGGAGAATTTGCATCAACAGAATAAAACAGCCGCCTATAGGAAAAGGATGGGGCATCAGGGGAGCAGGAATTACATGAATTGATATAGAACTACATAAAGGAAAAATAAATAAATAAGAGCGATCTTGCAAGGACTGAAGATGATAATGTGCCAATAAAGAATATAACTGATTCAATTTTTTTGCAAATGAAGTCCAAACAGAAAATTAAAGAGAAGAAAAAAAAAGGGGGGTGGGGGGAGGGCCCTTGGTATTGCAAAATTACCATGGATGAAATGTCTTCTAGAAATGACATTTTGATGGATACCACATTTAAATTCCCTCCCCTACACCTTCCATGGAGATTTCTCAGTCATGCCGGAGGAAGGATGAAGCTCTGGGAAGTGGAATGCATCTTACTTCCGTCTTGAATAGAATTTTCAACAATGTTCCTTACATGGTAACTTTAAGGAGGTACATCTCCCTAAATAATTTGCTTAATTCTTAATTCTTGACATACTTGGAACTTCAAATTTCATTTTGCAGTGTTTTTTTTTTTGATCATCTTATTCTTTTTATCTTTTTCTTTTTTATCTCTGTTGTACTGGCACGAGTTTTTCACTGGCCACTTGCCAACATGCAAACTGCATGTTTTAAACACGTTAAGTGTAAAAGGTGTGTTGGGAAGTCTTGTATCTCCTCCTATGCTTGGCAACAGTTTAAATAACAAAGCACTTATTAACTCCTTTTAGGTTTGCTAGAACTTGTTCATGAAACATCTGAACCTCCTTTTATAAACAGTGTTTTGCCAAGCCTAAACATGCTTATAACTAAATCCTTATTTATATTTATGTCCCAGGTAGGGAAGCAATTTTAAAAGTACAGGGATATTTTGATTAAAATACAGGCACATCATGTTGTACTGCACTTCGCTTTATCGTGCTTGGCAGATTTTGCATTTTTTGTTAACTGAAAGTCTGTGGCAACCCTGTGTGGAGCAAGTCTAATGGTGCCATTTTTCCAGCAGCATTTGCTCACTTCATGTCTCTGGGTCACATTCTGGTAATTTTTGTAATATTTCAAACTTTTTCATTATTATTATTTGTTATAGTGATCTGTCACCAGTGATTTTTGATGTTACAATTGTAACTGTTTTCGGATGCCACAAATCATTCCCATATAAGATGGTGAACTTAAGATGTGTGTATTCTGGCTGCCCCACCCTGTCACCGGCCATTCCCCCATCTCTTTCCTTCCTCTTGGGCTCCCCTATTCCCTGAGACACAATGATATTGATATTATGCCAGTTAATAACCCTACAATGGCCTCTAAGTGTTTAAGTGCAATGGAGAGTTGCTAAGTCTCTCATTTTAGGTCAAAAGCTAGAAATGATTAAGTTTACCGAGGAAGGCATGTTAAAAGCTGGACCTCTTGCACCAAAAAGTTAACCAGGATGTGAAAGCAAAGGAAAAGTTTTTGAAGGTCTCAGCATGAACTAAGGAGATCAAACCCCTTTTACAAGCCTGGATTTTCATTGCCAGATGCTGATATGTTGACAGCTCATGGATCATGAGTTGGATGAGGAGAGGTTGCAAATGCATTAAGCAAAAAATTTTTTCAAGCCCACACTGAGGAGCTGACTTCATATTAAACTTCTTGGTGCTGTTTTGAAATAAGGTATGATTTCCTTATTCAAATCAAAAGGAGTTGAACTCTCTTTTCTTTCTCTCTCCTCTCTCTTTCTCACTGTTACAGGTTTTCCCATTTGGTTCAGAAGGACACATTACACTCTTCATTTTTCTTTTATTATAAAAATAGCTGATGCTTGATGTAGAAAACAATGCATAAAAAAATTGGAAAGATCTGGTCCATTAAAACTCCCCCTGAATCCCACTTCCCTGGGGCAAACTACTGCTTTCTGTTTATTATGCCCTAATCTTGGGCTTCTCTTTCCCTGCACAGATAACTGGTTGTCTTCCCTATTTGAAAGATGGAAGAAAAATAAAAAGGAGCATCGGTTTCTATATCTCAAGCACACACACAAGATTATCCACTCAAAGTAACACTTTTGTCCTGTGTGGCAGCATCCTTACTTTGCTTACAATCATTTTATAAACAACACATCTTCCTATGTGTTTTCTGTTTTCTATTTTTTTTCCTTTGTGAGCATCTGGAGCTTCCTTCATTTTTCTCATGGGTATGTACCATCCCTGTTTAATGACCAGTTCATGAACCTTTCTGTGTAATTAAACACACTTTCTAATGTAATTAAGTACTATATTCTAAATTAGCCCCCACCAGGAAATTTGCCAGGATTTGAATGTGGTGGCATCTGTCCTCCTGTAAGGAACCACTTCTGTTACTCCTCAGATATTCAACTGCAGATTATCCATTGTTTTTGATCTACAAAAATGAAAATTTCATGGTTCAAACTAACATATTCCCTACTTGGCCTTTTTCAGTCAGATCCTAATACACAGCTCCTTATAACTCAGGTACCTTTATACACTGGGAAGTATTTTAAAGGCATTAAGACAATCATCACACATAGGAAAACATTTTTTAAAAAAATTAAGACAACTTAAGCTATTCTTTCTGTCAGTGTCTTTTGGAATGAAATCTTGCCTGTCATTTTTCTGATTCTTTTGAAATCTATTTAACAACTAGGGTACATGTTAGACTGTCCTGAGAAATTCCATTCCTGAAGAACAAAAGCTATTTTATTATTTATCTTCTCTTCATAATCCCAAGCGTGAGATTGGCATAGTGGATTTTGATAAAGAAGGTTGGGGGCAAAAGAATTTGTGTGATGACTGAGACAACCTCATAAAGGTCAATTTTGAAACTAAAGATCTACAGGGAGTCATCCCAGCAGCTATAAATAAGGGAAGTAGAACGGAAGGCAGTGTCTGAGACATACAAATGGCTCAAAAGATATGGATAAAGAGCCTCTGAGTCCCAAACATAACATGTGGCATTTTCCCATCTGTGTGATGTATGACATTTAGTGTTATTTTTGTTGATCTCATGGATTTGCCCGTATAAGTGGGTTCATCTTATAACAACAGATCCCATAACATCAGGAAGAAAATTTCCTCTTATAATCCACTTTCTCAGAAACTTCTGGGCAATGCCCTGTACCTTGCTGGAGCTGGAGAAATATTTGATGATAATGATTTTATGATGTCTAGTGCAGAGCTCTCACAAACAAAATCAGAGAATTGCTCCTTAGGTGGGCCCCTTACTTAGACTCTAAGGCAGCTCAGAGTGGGGGCCATAATCCTAGCTCCATGTCTTCAAATTTGGCCTCTTGCAAGCCAGACTGAAAATGCTACATATTGTATGATTTCAACAACATGACATTCTGGAAAGCCAAAGCTGTAGAAATAGAATAAAGATAAGTGGTTGCCAGGGGTTTAGGGGGAGGGGGAGAGGGATGAACAGGTGGCACACAGAGGATTTTAGGATGGTGAAACTATTCTTTATATCTTAATGGTGGAAACACAATGATTCACTCGTAATAGAACTGTACAACACAAAAAGTAAACCCTCATGTAAACTATGTAATTTAGTTAATAATAATGCATCAGTATTGGTTCAGAGTTTGTAACAAATATTCCACACTAATGCGAGGTGTTAATAACCTGGGGAACTTTGTGTGGTTAGGGTAGAGGGGGCATCTGGAAACTCATTACTTGCTGTGCAATTTTTCTGTAAAATTATTCATATTCTAAAAAGTAAAGTCAATTAAAAAATAAGCTACCTGATTTGTGAAATACAAAATGTTTTAAATATTCTTAAAAGTATTCTTTCAGGTATTTGATAATTTTAGTGTTTGTATGTATCTTTAAAATAATTATAAAAAAATATTAGTTAAAAAATTTGGCCTCTTGCCTTTGTGGTGCGGGAATAGATGTAGA